TGTGGACAGGGGTAGCATTTATTACAATGTAATTTGCTACTTCCAGTAATGAACTTGATGTCCACCAGAAATGTGCTACATCAGCAAAGCAAGTTCGCTGGCGACTATAGCAAACTTGCACGCGTGACATATTAAAAAATAACATTGTTCACGTGATAGTTGAGTAAATAAGTGCATGAACAGTGACATTTTTGTCACTGTTCCTCGATTTTTCGTGATCTTAAATGCATTTGATTTATGTTTTCCGCATGTTGAATATAGAGTGTTACTTGCATTTTTAAATAATTTCAGAAACACGTATTTAATTTTCTCTCATATTTTCATATTGTTTTTTAACAGAATAAAACTACTATATTATTATTTAGATAAAATGAATTTTTTTTCATTTTTATGTAAGAAACCAAATGAATAATAAAAAGTTAATAGATAACAATTTAGTTTTATTTATTATTTTCAAATTAAATAAAATGTAAAATAAAACGAGATGAAACAATCCATCATATTTCATTTTACTTTATTTTATATTAAATAATGTAAATAATAATTTTAATCAATGGTTCTATTATATTCCCCCTCCACCCTTTCCATACCGTAAGTACGAGACCTTAGTATTTCTATGTTTTAATGCATACAAGTGAGAATAGGAGGACCAAAAATTAGGATTAAAAATTATTTGTGGTAATTTTTTTATTTTTATTTTTTACTTATTATATGTGGTGGCTTTTTTCACCCTTTTGCCCCTTATTAATTAATTAATAACTATTTTGCCCCTGATTCGAAACTATCTACCAATATGCCCCTCTTTAATCGACTACCTTGCATTTTTAATCGACTAAATCTCCCTACTTAATCGATTAAAATCATACTGACTTATTTTTTTTTTTTTTGTCAAATATGAAGATTTAGTCGACTAAATAGGGAGATTTAGTCGACTAAATCTTCCAGCAGCCATTTTTTGTTTGTTTTGGCCATTTAGTCGACTAAAAATGCAAGGTAATCAACTAAAGAGGGGCAAATTGATAAATAGTTTCGAATCAGGGACAAAATGGTTATTAATTAATTAATAAGGGGCAAAAGGGTGAAAAAGCCGGGAATTCAACCTTATTACTTTTGTTGTTAGTCCTTAACTCTTACCAATCAATTTTGTCAATGATTTTATTTTAATTGTTTTTACTTATTTTTTCTATTACAAATAAATAAAAGAATTAAAATAAAATGAGCTCAATTCATTACAAATTAAATTAAATCAATTCACATGATCAACATTAAACCCTTCTCATTTCGAACTGCACTACTTCTCAATTTTTTTTACTTCCTTTTTGTTTATTTGTTCACGTAGAGCTTAAAAGTTGGTGCAATGGCTAGTAGTAGAATGAGCTAAGGAACACAAGTGTTGAATGGGCTACGAACCACGAAAGCTAAATAGAATAGAAATGTCTTTGGCATGAAGGGCTTGGCCTTTATAAGTGAGCAACCAAGGAACTCGACTTTTCGAGTATAGGCCTAAATAGATCACCCGCGGCCTCCCATGATATTTTCCAAAACCTGTTTCGAAATGAATTTTACATACCTATCTATTTCTCTGTCCCATGTACTGTTCATATATGGGAAGGAAATTATAAGGTAGTGCTTTGATATGTGAAATATTATAGGGAAAAATATTTGTACTTTTAAAAAATATATAATTGTGTCATTTTATTTAAAAATATTATATTTTAGGGTTAGAAAAACAGTTATCAAATGGAAGATCATGATGGGAGAAAATAAAAAATTATTCAGAGTTTTTTTTAACTTTAATATTAAATAAAATATTACTATTTTATTTAAAATGACTAATTCTATTTGTTTTGTCTTTTCCTTTTGGCTTAATGCCCTTCATGTATAAAAAAAGGATAAATATCTTTTCCTTATATAAAATTCATATAATAAATATAAATACATAAATCTTAAATTAGAAATAAAATTTTAATATTTCATTTATATTACTTTAAAATTTAAAAAAATGAAAGCTAGAATCTTATAGAATTACCTAAAAAGTATCTAACGTAATACACATTCAATCTTCACAAGACAACAATTTTAACGTTACACATTTGTGCGTCCCTCGTATTCCGGCTCAAACTCATGGAATATCCGTCATTGTGTCAACAATAACAAAGGACCCTGAAATATTTATTTGTTTTGCTTTGGCACATAACAGACCCTCAAATTGAACGACGCTGATTACGACAGAAATACGGTTCCCGAAACTCAAAAAAAGTAAATTTCTAATATATTCCCATAGTATTCCTCTAAATACAATTTTTTTTTTTTTTGAGTTACCCAATCCTAATTATCTCTTTGAGACGAGTTGGCTCCCTCCGGTATCTCCACGAGCTTCGACTCTTTGAGCCGGCTATGAGACTAATCCGGAGTGCGGGGAACAGTGATGGCTAAAGGTTCAGCCCCCTCCCCAAGAATGCATTCAGCGGGAATCGAACACATATCTAACCCCACTAACTCAGCGCCAAGTTACCAACTGAGCTGCAATAGTTGTCTTATGTATAAAAATAAAAATTTAATAATTAAGATTGGTAAAATTTAGTATTAGTATATTACTATAAAAAAATTCTGCATATATATATATATAAAGGGCTTACCATTTTTTCAAGTTGTTTGAGATAATTTTATCTCCAGCTATTAAACATAATCGTACAAAGATAAATCAATGATGATAAAATAATAGAGAGAAAAAGAAAATCATAACCATACAAAAGTGAATCAATAAATATAAGGAAATACGTAAACAAAATGACGTAGTTTTAGGCTGGACAGAGATAAATATATCTCAAGAAACTTGAGAAATATTTTTCTCATATATATATGAGATAAAATCCTTTGACACTAGTTTCGAATTTTAAGTTTGACTCCTCATTATGAGAGTCGTTAGATCAAAATAGATTAACGACTCTGATTTGTAAGTATGTGACACCATTGATCTTTTTTTATCTAACGTCTCTTAGATGAGGAGTCAAATTTAAAATTTGACACCGGTGTCAAAGGATCCTATATATATATACATGGGTTCATTTTTTCTGCAGTTACTGCAGATAACTTATATGCAGTAAGCCAATACTACGTCGTTTTGGGACGGAAATCATAGTGTTTTTGTAATTTTAATTTATTTCAGGGTTATATTAATTTTTATATTCATAATTTTTTAAGATTTCAATATCAAAACGACGTCGTTTTGAGAATAAATGCAGATAACTTATCTGCATTAACTGCAGAAACATTTTTCCCTATATACATATAGGAAAAATATTTCTCCGGCAACTTGAGATAAATTTATCTCTAGCCACTCCAAAATTACGTCGTTTTGTTTATTTATTTTCTTATATTAATTGATTCACTATTGAATGGTTATGATTCCCTTTTTTCTCTCTTCCTTTATCACCATTGATCCATCTTTGTACAGTTATGATTTAGTAGCCGGAGATAAAATTATCTTAAGCAGCCTGCGAAATGATAAGCCATATATATATATATATATATATATATATATATATATATAGGTTTGTTTTTTCAAGGTTACTTGAGATAACTTTATCTATTGTTTACCGAAACGACGTCGTTTTAGGGAGGAAATCATGATATTTTTGTATTTTTAATATATTTCAGGGTTATAATAGTCTTTATCATTCTAATTTTTTAACCTTTCAACCTAAAATGACGTCGTTTCGATGAACATTAAACAAAAAAGTAACATTAGATACTTTTTTCCTATATATATAGGTAAACATTTCTACAACCATTTTAGATAAGATTATTTACAACTATCCTTTATAACTATCTATTTTCGAGAATACATAGTTATAACATTGGAGTTGTTTTTTTAGTTACAGCAGACAGGTTCTAAAAAGCAATCGAGGAGAGAAAAAAAAAAGTAACTTTAATGTTATATTATATATTCCAGGAGCACATAAGTTATAAAGAGTAGTTGTAGATAACTTTAACTTTATCTAATGTTATATTAATGTTTCTTATGTTATAGGAGATAATATTATCTTCTACACACATAAAAATGTGTGAGACTTATGTAAAGAACCTTGGGATACACCACCCCAAAAGTGTCCAAGACCTTATAAACTCCACCTTAGTTGCACATACAACGTGAGACTATATATCTCAACACGCCCCCTCACACAAGAGTTCATTGGGCTTGAAGAGTGGAAGATGCAACAGGCCCAGCCTACCTGTGCTAAGAAAGTCCACAAGAGAAAGTGGGGGCGGCGAGGGCGAGGCTCTGATACCATGTAAAGAACCTTGGGATACACCACCCCAAAAGCTAGCTCAAAGGGTGGGAGTGCTCAAGACTTTATAAACCCACATTAGTTACACATACAACCAATGTGAGACTATATATCTCAACACGCCCCCTCACACGAGAGTCCATTGGGCTTGAAGAGTGGAAGATGCAACATGCCCAGTCTACCTGTGCTAAGAAAGTCCACAGGAGAAAGTGAGAGGCGGCGAGGCTCTGATATTATGTAAAGAATCTTGAGAATTAATGTAGCAGATAAAATTATCTCCTTATGAGCTCTATATATTTTTATATTTTATCTTTCTCTCTCTTCTCTTTACATGGCAGCCTTTCTATTTTATCTTTCTCTCTCTTCTTTTTACATAACCTCATATGAGCTCTATATATTTTTATATATGTAGCGGATAAAATTATCTCTTACAATGTAAAAAAATGTTAATCCCTAAATTTAATAAAGAAAATGGTTACACAATTTTATGCGTTACGATGGAATTAATGTAATACTTTTAATAGTCCAAAGTATTTCTAGAAAATCAAATAATGGCATAAAGTAGTCGGTGGAGTGACAGTATATTCTTCACGTGTTTATAAAAGAAACATTTCGAGAAATGATATGAAAAGAAACAGTAACGATTAACGAATCAGAGTGATAGCAGTACTCTATCAAGCTACCAATTTTTTCTTTTCAAAAGTCCAACTGCCCCCAAAAACAGGCGGTTAACGCCGACAATGGCGGCCACGCCACCCCCTCCGTCTTTGTCGGTACCTTCGAACAAATCCCTCAAAATCAGACCCTCTCACTCTCTGCTTCTTCAATCGAAGAAGAAGAATAATAACAGCTTGCGTTTCGATTTGAGTTTGAGGTGCGAGATCAAAAGCTTCGAGAGCCATCGTAGCTGGACAATTGATATGAACAAAGATTCCATTCATAACAACTCTTCTTCTTCTTCTTCGTTGGTGTCGGTTTCTGCTGCTAATTCTGCTTCAGAATTCCCCACCAAGAATGCGAAGAAAGTGGTCCTCTTTTTCTGTGCTGAGACCAAGGCCCTCGCTGAGAAGATCTCCGCCGAGTCTGACGCCATTGAACTTCGTACCATATCATGGGGGTTCGCTTCATTTTCATTCACATTAACTTTCTCACCATGCACTCATTGTTTTTTTTTTTTTAAACTAACTTTGAGTGTCCCAGTTCAATATTTTGCACCCCCATTTAGCTAAATTGCTCTCTTGTGCTGGAATTTGTATCCCTGTTGTTAAAATTTTGGAACTTGGAAATGCCCATTACGAGAATATTATGAGAATTTCCATTTACAGTGATGAGTTGAAGGGGCGAGTAGTTCACTGTTGTCCATTTTTTCTGTGACTTACAGTTAAATGGATGTTCTGTTCCCTCAGAGTTCTTCTGTTGGCTTTTGCAACTCTTTATTTTGAGCAGAATATATTTGGAACTGTAATTTTACTTTTTAAGCTGCCCCTTTATGAATCTTGATGCCTGAGGTTAAAAACGTTGCTATGGTGCATTGGTTCTGGTTCTCTGTTTATAGCTTGTTTGCGTTTTTAGTATAATTTATGGTTTCACTAAAATTAATACTCTTTTACAACTGAAAACTTCAGCAAGTTTCCTGATAGCTTCCCCAACATTTTCATTCCTAATGCTCAAGGCATTCGTGGACAGCATGTAGCTTTTCTGGCCTCATTCAGTTCTCCAGCAGTAATTTTTGAGCAGATCTCTGTCATTTATGCATTGCCAAAACTGTTTGTTGCGTCATTTACGCTTGTCCTTCCCTTTTTCCCAACGGGCACTTCAGAACGTATGGAGGATGAAGGAGATATTGCCACAGCTTTTACTTTGGCCAGGCTTTTGTCAAACATACCGATTTCTGGGGGAGGACCTACTAGTTTGGTGACGTTTGACATTCATGCATTGCAGGTCTAATATTGGCAGAATTGCTTTTGACTATTATTTTTGGTTTGTCCATAACATGTTTTCCTTGTCTTTCTTTCTCACTTGGTAAGTTGCTGGCCATAATTATTTGATTATTTGTTGCAATCCAGGAGAGATTCTACTTTGGTGATAACATTTTACCATGCTTTGAGAGTGGCATACCATTGCTTAAAAGAAGGCTCCAGGATCTCCCTGATTCTGATAGAGTGAGGCTTTCACTTATATTTATTTCTTCTCTTTGTGGTTCCTTGTTTTTATATTGGCTTTTTTTTTTTTTCTTACTATACTGTTCTTGTTTTTGCCTGTGTGCTTGTGATCATGGAAATTACTGATCTTATTAATTTGCATCAATCAACTTAACAGACATCCTGTTATTTTAAAGCTTGCTTCTAATATTTTACCTTTTGGTCTGCACTTCAGTCCCCAGATTAATCTTCTATAGTTACAATAGAAACTGAAACAAGCTTTTATTTTATAGATATTGATTGAAAAAGGAAATGAGTATAGTTGTTTTCACACTATCTCATATTGAATGACAACTCTTGTTTTGTTCTTTTTCAGATATCAATTGCTTTTCCTGATGATGGTGCTTGGAAACGATTTCATAAGCAACTGCAGCATTTTCCAATGGTATTGAATATAGTAAATGTAACAATGTTTCACAAATTTAGCAAAAGTCATAAATAATACCCTGGTACTAGTCTAGCAGCTACTAGAGTGAACATAAGTTAACTTGCAATGATGGTTCCATTTGTTAGCACTTACACAATACATATGCAGATAGTTTGTGCAAAAGTCCGGGAAGGAGATCAACGGATAGTTCGTATTAAGGAGGGAGACCCTAAGGGTCGGCATGTTGTGATTGTCGATGATTTGGTTCAGTCAGGTGGTACTCTGATTGAATGCCAGGTATAGACGTCTATGTATGTGGATTCTTACCGCAAAAGTTGGAAATCTTATGCTGTTTTATTTATTATAGAAAAGGTGCTTTCCGATTATCTTGACGAGTAATAACTCATAAATTTGTCATCATTCAGAAAGTATTGGCAGCTCATGGAGCAACAGAGATCAGTGCTTACGTGACTCATGGCATTTTTCCAAATAAATCATGGGAACGCTTTGGACATGATAATGGGGGTAATGCTTGTTTTACTTTGCTCATTAAACCATGTTCAATGCCTATTCTTTTGATTTAATTTAATTTCGTAATTGTTCTGGAGTTTTCCTTCGAGTAGGCCTTAAATGACATTATCTTCTATAAACATGTCACTTTTCTTTAGAACATTGACCCTATTTTCCCCATGATTTTCTTGTTATGCTCCACGTTCTAGTTTTTGCCAAGGTCTAACTCATGTCAGTACCCTCGCTCTTCCATTTATTAGTGGAACAGGCATTTAGATGGCTTATCATTGGTTTGTGGTTAGTTATTTTATTTGGAGGAGGTTCAACATATTGGGAGCAGATATTCTCACTCTATTATGAAACCATTGTGTTATTGAATCTTCCCTCACAAAGCTAATGTCGCTTTCAGTGATTGCTATTGAATTTTGAGTGCTGTACTTAACAAGGCTTGCATTTCTTGCATCAATCTAATATTTAACTCAATGACTTACACTCTACACTTTCCCTCCTCACCATCAGCCATTTCTGACTTTTCATGCACAGGGCATCCAGAGACTGCATTCACATACTTCTGGATCACAGATTCATGTCCCTTAACAGTGAGGCATGTGATGAATAAGCCACCATTTGAGGTTCTCAGCCTTGCAAGCTCCATATCAACCACTCTCCAAATCTGACGGAAACGTAATGTTATTTTCATCTCATCCTCAAAAGAAAATGGACAAAAGAAGAAATCCGGCTAATAGTGATATTCAAAGTTGAGCTCTTTCGGTATGAGGCTTATATCATCACATACTTACAAGGGAGTAAAAGACCACAAAAATTGGTATATTAATACTGTCTCCCCTCCCCTAGTTTATCCCAAAGTTTTGCCAAGAGTATTACTGCAACATCTACTTCAGTTGCTTTCATGCAGGAACTGCTGTTTAATGATAGTTTATAGAACATTGTTGTGTTAACAATAATTATGCACTGGACCCCATGGATTTTGGTTGTTTCAGTCGAAGTGTGATCCTTGATATATGAAGGTATTCCAAACTTAAAATATTGATAAATTCACATGTATATCTTTAAATTCTTGCTGAAAAACACTAGTATTTGAAGACCTGAACTCTTGGGTGCCAAAAAGGGGAAAAGCTACATTTTAGTTCAAAATTAACTGAGGTCTTAACATTAAAATTTATTGATTAAACGAATTTAGAATCATATTTTAAAGTTTAGTTGGCAGTTAAATGTTGTTGACTGGATCAATAATTGCTAATTTGACTGAGTAGTCTTGGTAATTATTTTTAATCAAAACTGTTATAAATTATTTTTGTTACATTTGTCAATGGATATTATAAGTACAAATATAGATATCGGTACCATAAGAAAACATTTCCAAATTTAGCAATCTAATTTAATAGAATACGCTGGATGTCAACAAGTAGATGAATAACCATAACCCGCGGCAGGGCTTTTGTACAAAATCCAATTATCTTAAAATTTTAAAAGAGAGAATGTCAATCTACATTATGAAGTTAATAGCACTGATAATTCATTACTTTCTCATCTTGAATGATGAGTGGCTGTTGATTCCATATCTGGTTCTTCTAGCCATCTAACTCAAATGTATAACTGATTGTAAATCTGCCAAATCTCATTTTTGAAGAGCAACATAACATTGTAGGCATTCCACTAGACCATAAATACTGTAAGTAATAGGTACTGTGGGTTATTCTGTGAGGAAAATAAGCAATATCTACTCGTAAAAGGAGACAAAAATGTCTATTCACATAAGAATTGTGCAAACAAGGCTTAGATTAATAATATCACGGGAGTTTCTCACATAGAGAATTAGAGATGGCCGAGCTGCACGCTAACTTATGCAAGTTGTTGCCTCATGTCAATTTGTAGAATTTAAAACAAAATTCCAGATAAACTTGCACCCAACTTTAGGTCAAATAGTGTTGTTTGGTTTTGCTTTGTCTGAGTGCTTAAGTTTGGAATCTGGATGTTTGCAGCCCTTTAAGTTTCTCAGCATGCTAACAATATCAAAGGTGTGCTTGTTCCCACGAGGCTCGAAATATGTCCATTGTTGTTCACCCTCAGCCTATACATATACTTGAGAAAACTGAGCAAATTGTTTTGTTGGCATTTTCATTTCATTCGTCAACGTTAGTGTTATTCAGCAACAAGTTTGACTCAAGTAGCTCGAGAGGTTTTGTTCCAAAATAAGTGGAATGAATTTTGATTCACAATATGGATAAGTTATTCATATATGGAGTCTGAGAAACACACACAAGACAACAAACATGTTCTCTTAGTAAAACCTTAACCCAGCATCTCCAGGCAGGAACCCGTCCTATCAGTTTAAACCATCTATGGTCAACAATGGCCCTGTTTGGAGAAAAATCAACAGAAGCCTAATAGTAACATATCCAAATAAAGTATTTTTGGGAAGATCATTATGCGTTTGAATTCAGTTATTCGTCTCAGGTCTAAATGATATTGAATAGACTCGATTGCTAATTGAAGCTCAGTTCTGACATGTGGCTAAGTCCCACACCGTACCAAACTATGACAAGCAGCAGGAACTTGGATTATAAAACTCGAATCCCTGTAATGTTCAACTCATACCTTTCTCGGCCTTTTGGCTAAGATCAAGTGTAGTATCTGTTCTTATCAGTTTAATATCTGATACGTGGGCCATTGGCCCACATGATATTAAATTAATTTTTATAGGGAGAGGGTCCATTACAGTAGCTTGCTACTGGGTCTCTCACGTGTCGCCCAAGCGTTGCACTACTGCTAGGGCCTGGCGCATCCCTTTCAAATCAGTTTAACTTTCTCTAGATCTGGCCAAACGGGATCTTAAGAGGTGTTTGGTATATGGTTTTTTTCTGAATTTTTGGAATTTTTAATTTTTGGATATTATTGGAATTATATTTTTGAAAATTGAAATTTTCGAATAGTTTTTTTTTTCCCCTTAATTTGTTTTTTATTGCAAGGGTGTATAAAGGGTTTTTAAAGGTGGGAAATTGGTTGTTGATATGTTGCTTATTGCACGGAGTATAATGGTGGTGCTATAAGTCCTTTGTGATTCCGACGCTGGAATTATATTTAACTCGTAAGTCCTTTGTGATTCCGACGCCGGAATTATCTTTAACTAGTAAAATCTAGTCAATTGCTTTTTGCTTTTTAGCTTTGAGAGAAAATATGTTTAACAAAAGTTTTTGAAAAAATAAAGGAATATTTAAGAGAGAAATTCCTAGATGAAACCAAACAAGGAATCATCTATCATCATCATCGTTATCAGTACAATACAATAAAAACAAATAATAACAAATTTGGTTAAACATCATCTCCATATATATTTAAATAATGACATATTAATTAGTGGACCTACAAGTCTTCCTGATCTCCCCATCGTTCCCAGTGAGCACATTCAAAGAACACAACTTAACCATGACCTCAGCAAACTTCTTTGGGAACAAGCCAGGCTCAGCTGCCATCTTCCTCACAACAGGGCCAGTCCTGGGATCACCGAGCAAAAATGAATCACTCAAGAGCAACGATTTCTTTTTCTCCACCATATTCTTGTAAAATAGGTTATCAAGTTTAGTAGGTGTCTCATCAAAGTTCACTGGTGGGTTTCTGAACTGAGGTGTCCCAGGGTTCTTGCATATCTGTTTAAGTTCATCAACCACAGGTGGAATCAAAGTCGGGTCAGGTTTCTGCGAGTTCTTGAAATTGTATAGCCTATCCATGAAAAGATCACAGTGAGCTGAACCGACAGAATGTGCACCGAGTAGGACCACCAATTCTTCAGCGTTGAAGCCTTTCCTGTTGAACAGCTCTATCATCTGATCCACCGACCAGTTTGGCGAAGGAAGGTTATTGTCTTCTGCAACGGAAGCAAGTGAAACCAATGCATCCCTACGACCACCAAGAGGGCGCTGACGTGGCACACCCGCCAGCGCCATAGCCTCGTTGGTTGCAAATGCCAATGTATCAGCACATGACACAGTTTCAGGACACTCTTCTTCAAGCTTTGTCTTGATATCATCAATCAGATCAGCACCTTTCAGGAGAAAACCGTTGAACATTGAATTTTTCTCCACTTTGTCCCCAGCTGGTGAAAAATCTAGTAAAACCGAGGCATCACATCCCTGTTCAACTCAACTCATCACAACATGTAATTTTCTTAGCTTTCTCTCCTTAATGATTCCAAATAATAACAACAATGTAAACTAACTAATCTTTGGTCTTATATATATATAACATAAATATATATGATATTAAAAACTTTGGTTATATGATATAATGTGGAGACAAGAAATTAAGAGAACGAAGGATGTATATATATATAATTGTTTGGAAAGGCTTACATTAACGAAGCAGTCATGGAATTGAAGACGAATGAAGTTAGCGATTGCGCTTGGATTTGTCTTAACCATCTCGGCAAGCGCGTCAGCTACAATTTTCTCTGCATTTGGGCAAGTAGCTCTGTAGAAACCTTGCTTGAGTTTGTGTTTGGCATTAAAGAAAGGCTGCTTCCCAACAGGCTTCTCTTGTTGATCATCTCCTCCACCCTGATTTTCTTCTGGAGGTTGTTCAGTACCTGCAAATGGATTTTTAAATGGCATTTGTAGGCCAGTCTCGCGGCCTTGATCAGGTCCAAAGAAAGCATTTTGGAAAGGATTAGAGAATGTGAAAGCCTTGGAAGGAATGAGGACCAAGTGGAACAGGAAAAGGGTCGTAAGAAAGATCCCTGTCATTTTCATGTTGATAAAAAAAACTCAAAATGTTCAATGGTTGTGTTGGGTTTGCTTTGGCCACAAACAGGAGCAGAGGTATGAGAACCTTTTATAATCGAACGTGTCGTTTGAAACCTTGATTTAGTTATTGTTTTATTATGGACAGATGGTTTCAATGCGCTGCTTCTTAATAGTTTTGAGTTATGGTGTCTTATTCAGGTAGCCATAGCCAGCTCTAAGACAGATTTTGTTTTTTTTTTAAGCAAGAATGAATAGAACATGCCTCGGTTATACATAATGTCTATATATAGTTAGAACCTTCATTTCCTAGTTGCTTGCGTATCCGTTGGAACGGATGAGTTAGGTCAACGTTGGAGAGTCAAAGCAGCTTTCTGAACCTCTGCTTTATTGTCCTCATGTTCTTGTTATAGCTAAAACGAATTAAGGACTTCACATGCAACAACCGAAAAAGACCGGTTGGTTTTATTTAGTTTAAAATCCTTTATTTTCCTCATTTTCTTTCTAACGATGCCAAATCGGCTGAAATATTGAGAAAACTCCATTGTTCATTGGTTTTAACTTTTAACCATTTTTTTTTAAATTAATCAAATTCAAACTAAATAAAGACACAATGCTTACATATATATAATGTAAACTCATTCTTTTTAAATAAAAATTATTTTGACATTTTTACGATAGATCGAGATGTCCAATGAGAGATTGATATGTTAATATAAGATCTATTTGTCCTCTCAGGTACCTATAGAGGAGTACCTAAAAATAAGCGGATCACTGTGCACAATAATACAAATGACATAGTCAAGGCATGAGGTGTGTGCACACAGTAACAAGCTAAGAGAGAGAGTTTAGAGTGTGTGTACATTATTGGCTTAACTTCTTATTTATAAATGAGTTACCTGACAAGGGTGGACTTTTGAACCTCTTAAGAGTATTGATGGTCCAATTGTTGATCAATTGCCAATGTCGTAATATAATTAGTATAATTAAAGAATATTTTTTAATTATCTCTTAGTTATTAGTACTATTTGGGCCTTCAGGTTCATAACATATATAATATTAATTCTGTCCAAATTACTCTTTGAAAAAAGGTATCTAAGTATAAATCAATTGATTACAGCATCACTTTTAAGTAGAATGATGTTTGTAAAATATAATTTATTGGAATTAATTTTGTAAATTATTATTTAAACGCGCATTAAATTGCCAGTACTATTTTTGAATCCGTTGTTTCTAAATATGAAAGAAAACTAAAAAGAAGAGTTGAGGTTGAGGATAACTGCTAAATAGAGTTTGTGGCTAGCTTTCTTTTTCTCTTTGTTTTCGGTATGTCAAAAGTGGAAGACAGGGTTGGTTCTTTGGCTCTTCTGGCAAAGATTCTTTACTAAACACATGCTTCCCGAGGTTTAAGTACTCTCAGATATTCTTTATATTATTAGATATTTTTCAAATGAGTAAATGTTTTGGGAGAGAGTTGAAATAAAATAAAATAAAAAGACGAGAATATAGAGACATGAAAAATAAAAACATTGAAAAATAATCAAGAGGGAGTGAATACTTGTAACATACTTGAATGCTTAAATCAGTATATTTTTAAATAAGTTAAATAATATGGAGAAGATGAATATATTTAGGTTTTTTCCATACAAGGCCACACACTATATAAAGAGGCTTAATGGGAACACCTTTGAAAAATATGTCACTTAAAATGTTGAATCAATTTAAAATTTCTTTTTAAATTTTTTACACAATTTATATATAACTATTAAATTATGTGTATAAATCTAAATTATAAAATTAATAAATAAATTGAGTCATATAGTTATCAAATTTTAGTTGGGTTTTTCTATTATATTTCACAAGATTATCATTTTGTTTGCATTGATTTACTTTACATTTAAATTTTTTGTAAATATTTCTTTGGAGTATTTGAATTATACATTTTAAATTAAAATTTTAATTTAAATACATATTTAACATTTATTTATTGAATAAAAAACTAATAATTATAATTTTTAAAATAACTAGCGCAAGTATATAAAAAAAGATAAGAGTATAAAAAATAAAAATCCAACCATCAACTATAGATAATCCATCACTAGGATCAGTTAAATACGCTAACCAGTTTCCCGGAAACGCTAAGTACACAACACATGGCATTAACATACAATTGCTGGTACAAAATCAAAGTTGAACGATTATTTTAGACAATCAACAGAAACTTAATAGAAACATATCCATGTAAAGTATCTTTAGGAATATTGTTGTTATGTGTTTGATTTCAGTCATTCGTCTCAGGTCTAAATAATATTGTATATAGACTTGATTGCTATTTGAAGCTCTTCTGACAAGTTGCAAAGTCCCACATCGTACGAAACTATGACAAGCGGCGGGAGCTTGGATTATAAAAGTGGAATCCATCTATCATACAACTCATACCTTTCTCGGCCTTTTGGCTAAGATCAAGTGTAGTATCTGTTCTTATCAGTTTAATATCTGATACGTGGGCCATTGGTTCACATGATATTAAATTAATTTTTATAGGGATAGGGTCCACTACAGTAGCTTGCTACTGGGGCTCTTACGCGTCGCCCAAGCCTTGCACTACTGCTAGGGCCTGGCGCATCTTTCAAATCAGTTTTAAGTATTTAAAATAAGAGTGAAGTGTGTATTATTTTAAAAGATATTAGTTATGATTTTTTAAGTGAAAGAAAAAAATAAATAAAAAGAGAGCGAATTGACAAAAAATTCTAAAGGGGTACGAGGGGAAAAGATAAATTATATGTTATTATTTAAAATAATAAATATTTTTCTTTTAAAACAATATGAGACTAGCTGTTTGAACTTTTATAAAAGTTATCAGAACTCTTTTTTGTTATTAAAAGCTAAGTTTTCTGGGTTTGAGGGGAAAAGATAAAAAGTTATTTATTTAACCATTTTTATTGTTTACTTAAATCATCACGGACTATAAATCTCCACTAACATATTACCGCGAGCTTCGCCTAAAGACCACCATACCAAACTTATGAAGTCAAGCACCATTTCCCATTCATATCCCAAGTCAAGCACCAAGAACGAAAATAGAAACGACGACTTGTAAATGTTATTTCCCAACTAGAAAACATTTGATAAATATGCCTTTACTAGGCTAATTTTATACTTCCAATCACATTTTTAAAAAATGAAAATATAACTAAATAATTTTGGAATTTTTTAAAATATAAAGAGAGTGAAAAGCTAGACCTTTTTGTCTTGAAATGTTATATTCCAATTTGTTTATTAATTTATTTTTAATTTTCATTTTAGCCAGCCCAAAAATAATTAGTGATGGGTTATTTTTTTTTAATTTTTTTAATTCTCACATTTTAGTTTTTTTTATTAATTTATAAATACAATTAAAATTTGAAAGCCGTTAGAATTGAACAAAAGACCATATATACATATATATTAATTTTATAAAAAAGGATAATACGATAAAATTATATTATTACTTATCTATTTTTCTCACTTACAATTTATAACACTCTAATAACGGGAGAGAATACTATTCCTTTTTTTCCCTTCCCTTCCCTTTCATTTCCTTCATTTTCTTTCCAAACTCCCAAAGAAGAAAAGGAATTCAAGGAAGAGAGGGGATGAAGAAAAGAAAAACAAAGATATTTTCTTTTCTTGTTTGAGAGTTAAAACCCCTCAAATTGAAGGAACTTCAAATTTTAAGAAGAGTTTTGTGAAAATTCCTAAATCATTTTCTTCACTTTTTTTAAACGCACAAATAAGGAAAAGGATTAATAAGACACTTCCCTTCCTTTCCTTTTCCTCTGATAGAGTACTAACTAACTTGATATAACTAACTTCAGTTACAGCTCAGCTGTATTCAGTTGTTCTTCTTCTGCACTCTAACAACCTTCTAACAAATTCTCAATAGTCTTCTCATCTATATATAGACTTGTATCACATAATGTAGAACTCAAGATCATTCAATACAATTCATACAGTTTTCAATCTCTTTTTGTTTTTATTTTCTTGAATGCGTCTGATACCTTACATGGTATCAGAGCTCAACTTGATCCATGGAAACATCCAACGCTTCTGCTACTGCTACTGCAACCATTGTTCAACCTTCACCTACACCATAAACTTTCTCTAATCTAGTATCTTTCAATCTGGATGATGGAAATTTTCTTCCGTGGAAACAACAAGCTATGGCTACAATAAAAGGCTACAAGTTGCAAAAATTCATCAAAGAAAGTGATCAAAGCTCATTAACTGTAATTGAAAAAGAATTTTTGGAGCAACAAGATCAGCTCCTGATGTCATGGCTTGTATCTTCAATGTCTGAAACGATACATACAAGAATGGTTGGTTGTCAATCTTCATATGAGATTTGGCAAAAGTTTGAGGAATTCTTTGCTTCACAAACTCGTGCAAAGATCAAACAACTCAATACTCAACTCAAGAATACCAAAAAGGAAGGATCTGTATCCAAATATCTTCTTCAAATCAAGAAGATAATGGATTTATTAGCAGTAGCAGCAGGATTTGCAGCTTCAACAGAAGATCATATTGATGCAATTCTTGATGGATTGGGTGAGGATTATGATCCTTTTGTAATCTCAATCATTTCAAGATCTGATCCCTATACTGTTGGTGAAATAGAGACTTTACTTCTTGCCTAAGAAGAGCCAATTGAAAAACACAGAAAGAATGAACTGAGTCATCTCCAAGCTAACTTCACGCAGATGATTCTTAGAAGACCAAATAATTTTGGATCTGGAAGAGGAGATCCTTACAGATGAAGAGGTCCTTACAGAGGAGGCAGAAATTTTAACTTCAGAAATGGAGGACGTTTTCAACAATCTAGCTTTCATTAATCTAGTTTCCATCAGCCTAATCACAACAATAACAAACCTCAGTGCAAAGTCTATGGTAAGTATGGCCACACTGGCTGGGAGTGTTACCATCAATTCACTTAGAATATTCCTAATCCATTTGAAGAAAACTCAGCAAATGCCAGTTCATCATCAATAATCCAAGCAAATGTAACTTTGGCAAACTCAAGTGCAACTTCACAAACTCATGACACCTTAAATTTCTTTTCAGCCTTTGATCCCACCTGGTATCCAGTAACTTTGCTAGCCAAAAAACCTTAAAATGGTCAAGAAACTGTGAAAATAGGTAATGGCTCTAGCATGCACATACAACATATAGTTCACTCTATTCTTTAATCTCCTTCTGACTCTTTATCTTTCAGATTGTCAAATTCGATTCTTTGGATAAATTCCACGAATTAAATATGTCATACTTATAATTCATTGATAGATTATTTAAGGCAATAACTAAACTCACCTTGGCCCCTTCACAATTAAATTAATATACTTCATTTCAAAGGTAAAAAAATTTAAGTTCAACCGAGTTGTACGCATATTTATACGTCATTGCAATTGCAGCCTAGCAGAAGTGTAAGATTCATAGGTTAAGCTCACGAGTAAAATAAATGCATGAAATGCCCTTTAACATGATATATTGATAAATAGACTTTTTAACTTTTAATTTCAACGATTAACTTCTTTGAAACTTAAGAAAATGCCCATATTTAAATTTGTTGATTCATAGTCAATATCAGTATCAACTAACTAAAATATTAATGGTAGAACAACTGTTTACAATATCTAAAACCAAAACATACAATTTGGCGTCCCTCATATGCATAACTTAGCTATTCAAACGAGGTAAAAGTTAAGAAGAAGAAATTTAATCGACAAATTCAATATGGGATGAAAAAAAAAATGGTTTTAGGCTCAGTATCCATATTTTTCTTTTGGTATCCTCTTGTTTTATTGACTAATTTTGTTACATTATATTTAGTTTTTTTTAGTATTTATTGTGAAATTAACAATTAATAAATATTATTGCAACTAGAGGTGTTAAATGAATCAGGGGCCTTTGGCCCGGTTCGTAAAAACTTAGATTTACATGTCTAAAATTAGTTGTTAAAATCAGAATTGGACTTGTATAAAAGCTCATTTGATAAAAAAAGCATCAGGCTCCCATTCCAAAGTTCGGTATTAGAGCCTATCAGGCTGATCTATTACACTAACTTTTATTTATTTTTTTATATTTTTTATACTATTCATAATAGCCCACTCTCTATCTTCTCAACCCATTTAACCCCATTTGTTAGTTAAAAAAACTTTGTGAATGATTTTATTCTATATTATGCTGTTTAGATATACATTGAATTTATGAATCTTTGTGCAATTATTATTACTGTTGATCGCATATTTTGTTTGGATAAATTCTTGTTGTTTTTTTTTTTTTTAACAGGCTAAACCAAACTTTTATTTTTTATAAATAAATCAGACCATAAGCCGATAATTATATTTATAACAGGTAACATGTTATGCTAGACTGATACATTTAAATACAAGCTTAATATTTTAAGACCAAAGCCCAACTCGGCTCGACCAATTAACACCCCTAATTGCAACTCATCCCAAATAGTTCTTATAATTTATGTAATTTAAGATAGTAGAATATTGAAGCTTCGTAATCTAAGGGATTAGTATAATAGTAGTCAAACATGTAATGTGTGAATCAGCATATAATCACAAGCTCTACCAATTCACTCGATCACTACTCATATTTACAAACTTTTTTATTTACAAACTCTTACAAACTACATTATCTTCTTCCGGGAGAACACTAGTTACACTATCTTCTTCCAGGAAAAGATAGTGTAATTTATAAAAATTTACACAAAAAATTTGTAAACGGATCCTTCCCCAATATATAAATATAAAATAAATATTCGGTACACATATTTACGCTAAATTCTTTAAATTAATAAACAATGATGTTGTGTTAATTTTTTTAAGTGATTTATCCTGCAAGATTTGTGTACAATGAGTTTATGAAAAAAAATAAAAATTCTCCAATAACATGAGAGTCGTATAATTTTTGGGGAAAATATTATTGCAGTTACTGCAGATAAGTTATCTGCATTTATTTTCAAAACGATGTCGTTTTGCTATTGAAATCTTAAAAAATTATAAATATAAAGACTATTATAACCTGAAATAAATTAAAATTACAAAAAAACTATGATATCTGCCCCAAAACAACATCGTATTGAGTTTACTGCAGATAACTTATACGTAGTAATGCAGAAAAAGATAATTTTTAACTACAATTTTTGGATGAATAAAATAGAATTATTATTAACTTAGTTAACAATAGTTATCATTACGTTAACTTATCTAATAATGAATCGTAACTTTTTATTGATTCTGGCTAATTTCTGTTAATTTTTTTAACTGGATAACATTATTCAAAATTTTCTCTGATAAAACCATAAATACTTTTTTTTAATGAAAATCCCTTCTTAAATATTGCACATTAATTAGCATCAACCTATAGGACGATGCTGTTAGATATAAAAATATTATTAACTTTCAGTCAATAACTTAGACTTGAAATTTGAAGAGTTAGTTTCAGACATAGTAATGATAGTATTATAGTTTTAATGACAATTGGTCAATAATTAAATTCTTGTCTCATTTATTTTTTAAAACAAAATTTAAATAAGTCGTGCATTATTCACATTTTAAATCTAAATGATTGAGATGTGAGATAATATTCATAAAAATAAAATAAAAAACCCTCGTTTTGCCTCTCGTGTTAGCGAAGTGGCACTAAACAAGTTAAATCATAATGATAAATGGTAAAACAATTTCTAGAGTATAACCAGTGATGGCACCACAATCTATAACATTTTTATTTAGGGGGAATTAGTATATGACTCTTACCTCCAAGTGGGTATCATTTGGCCAATATTGCCGTCTGAGATCCCACAAAAGATGCCCATCCTTGTTAGCTATACAGCTAGGTTTCATAGACAGCATAGAATTGTATTATAAATCATCATCATCATTATTTGTAAACTCGTGCCAAATTTATACCTATTTCGGCACCTATATATATATATAGATTTTATAAGAGTTATGTTATAAAAAAGATGATTGTGTTATGTTATATAGATTCGTTTTGCGTGCCGTAGTTTTTATTTTTCAAAATATGCGAGTCCCACAAAATATTGTGTGTGTAAAAAAAATTTTATGATCATGTTAAATGATAGATATAAACTCCTATATATATATATATATATATATATATATATATAAGGTTCCCATGTAATGTTAACGTAGGTGAATTGAGACATTCCTGTTTCTTGAAAGAAGCAACAAGTAGATGATGACAAAGGGCAACGTAAGCACATTGAAACCAGCTCATTCATTGCAATTCCTATATTTCTCTCTTTCCTTCACCAGGGAAGAAATTTCATGATCACAACTATGGCTTCTCTTACTCAATTTTTCTCTCTTCTCATCCCTCTGCTGGCAACTTCATTTCTAAGTGTGTTTTCCTTTAAAGCTTCAATCCAAACAACTCACTTGGAACCTTTTAAATGCTCTGCAAAGATCAGAACATGCAATGCCTCACTCTACCACATAAACTACGATCTCAAGATAGAAGAAATAGCCAAGTTTTACACTGTTAATACCTCCCAAATCAAACCTATAATGCATGGCAACAAACAAGATTACCTCATAACAGTACCTTGTTCTTGCAACAACACCAATGGCCTTGGCGGATATTTCTATGATACAACCTACAAAGTGAAGCCTAATGACACTTTTGATGATATTAATACCATGATTTACAGTGGTCAAGCCTGGCCTATTGATAGAGTATTGATCCCAAACGAGAAGTTAACAATACATATTCCTTGTGGGTGTTCAGAAAGTGACTCTCAAATTGTTGTTACATATACAGTCCAGCCTAATGACACAACAGCAGCAATTGCTAATGAGCTAAATGCTACGGTTGTTGGCATGGTGAGTTTGAACGATGTTCTGGTTCAGAACCCCACATTCATAGATATTGGTTGGGTGCTATATGTTCCCGAGGAATTGAATGGGTTACCACTTTCCAACACAAAAGGTTAGTTCTCTATCTAAACCTCTACAGGATTTGATTATGCATGATATTTACATGTTTAATTTCATCCATGAATTATGAGTTAATATTTTGTTTCAGAAATTATCATTTAGCTATGTGCTTTTGTCTGGTGTATGTAATGATTCATAAATTAAAAACTGCATTTAGCTGGCTTTGATTCAGCATGTTTTGGACTCTGCCAACAGCATTAATATAGAACTTCTAAAACTGTTAGGAGATTTTATATCATTACATTAGGGAAACACCTTTTGTAGATTGATTCTGTTATCTTAATGCTACTATTTCTCTAAAACTTTCATAATTTTCCTTCCACCCTTCCTCTGTTTTTAACCTTCATAATGATTACCAAATATGAGTGACAAGTCATTCAATCATCTATTTCAAGTTCATCAGATAATATGTTTCTCATAATGAACTTGTACCTTTCACCAATTGCTGTTCACTGACCAGGTGAAGCTATGCTAGCATGCACTCTAATTTCTCTTGCTTTGGTTTTTCCTTGTTTGCAGAAAAAAAACACAAGTGGGCAACAATCATTGGCATCTTAGCGGGTGTGACATTACTGTCAATTATTACCTTGATCATTCTCATTCTCAGTCTGAGTCTTAGGAGAAAGAAAGCCTATGAAACCAGCAAAGATGATCAAATCGCTGTCTCTAAAAGATCAATTGCCAATAGAACTATTTCCTTAAAGAATCGGGACTTTCACAAAGAATATATGGAAGGTAACTTGAGAAATTTTTGTAACCAAAAGCAACTTATATTTTAAAAAGGCCAAATTTTCAGTAATAGGCTAATAGCTCTACAACGAGACTGAGAGAAAAAGATTGTTACTTATTCATGGTAAATATTGGCGCAGATGCAACATCATTTGACTCAGAAAGACCAGTAATTTATTCTCTTGAGGAGATTGAAGATGCTACGAATGACTTTGATGAAACTCGAAGGATTGGAGTTGGTGGATATGGGACTGTGTATTTTGGAATGTTAGGGCAGAAGGTAAGGAAATCCCTCATAGATTCTTTAATGGTCCTCTACAATGCAATCATATCTATTTTCATGTGATAACTAAAAATTGGAGAATAATTACTATTTTAACTTTTCAGGAGGTTGCTGTGAAGAAGATGAGGTCTAACAAGTCCAAAGAATTTTATGCAGAACTCAAGGCCTTATGTAAGATCCATCATATTAACATTGTAAGTAGTATCTCTGATGAAGTGATCTTTGACATAGTCCTAAAGATCTGTGTTTGATAATATTATAAATGTAATCACTGTTTCAGGTGGAGTTGTTGGGATATGCCAGTGGAGATGACCACCTTTATTTGGTGTACGAGTATGTTCCCAATGGATCTCTCAGTGAACATCTTCATGATCCATTACTGAAAGGTATATTGGCTCCAAGATCTACTATGAGAATGTTCTAAATTGCCATAGACCAAGAACAATTGAATAAGGTGAAAGATTGATTAGTAAGACCACAAAGGCCACAATGCTAGACTACAAAGAAAGCAGATCATAAGAATGATTTTAGTATCTTTTTCAACTATAATTGCAGCCTCATGTATTGATGACTTTTACTCATAATTATAGAAAAGATAGAAAACTAGATAAAGATTAGGAAGCATATCACATCAAATTAATGTTTATAAGACTATTGTGTAAAAGATCTATCCAGAATGCTACTAGTTCCGGTGTACTACATTTCCGTTGGTACATGAAAAAGTCAAATATTTATTATTAGATATATATCAAGGATTCTAAATCATGGTACTGGAACAGGTCACCAGTCTCTTTCTTGGTGTGCTAGGGTTCAGATTGCACTGGATGCAGCAAAAGGTCTTGAATACATACATGATTACACAAAAGCACGATATGTTCATCGGGATATAAAGACTAGTAATATTCTTCTTGATGAAAAGCTCAGAGCTAAGGTACGTATCACTATTTTTATATAAAGCATTAACCTGAATCAACCCTTCAACTTAGTTGCCATATGATAACATGTATATGTAATTTTACAAAACAACATGCTCTTCATACATTATAATTGTATTTTTGGAAAATTAAGTTAATTAGAAAGTAAATTTAACCAAGGTCTCTGTACTTCTTAGTTCAAAGTTCAAACCATTTACTTGGAATTTGATCCGTAGGTAGCAGATTTTGGACTTGCAAAGCTAGTAGAACGAACCAATGATGAAGAATTCATAGCAACAAGGCTTGTTGGAACACCAGGCTACCTTCCGCCAGAGTAAGTTTTATGCTTTTCAATCATAACTAGACTCATGGTGCATTCAACAAATAAAAAATTTCTTGCTATCTTTAATATGCTTAAACTCAAGTACAGAAAATTAATCCCCAGTTAAATTTGCTTCTGACATAACTACTTTTTCTTTTTTCCTTAAAGATCTGTGAAGGAGCTTCAAGTGACCATAAAAACCGATGTATTTGCATTTGGAGTAGTTTTATCAGAGTTGATAACAGGGAAACGTGCAATATTTCGTGACAACCAAGAAGCCACCAAAACGAGATCACTCATTTCAGTTGTAAGTCAAACTCTTTTTTGAGAGAAAAAGAAAAAGAAAAAAAGATGGGCAGAGAAAGTTCTTTACCGAAAGTGAAGTTGTTATACATCTTTTTTACTTAAAAAGAAAGAAAGCTGATCTTTCTTTTCATCACTTTCAGGTTAAGGATATATTCCAAGATGATGACACAGAGACTGTTTTAGAAGCTGCCGTAGATGGGAATCTTCAACGTAACTATCCTATGGAAGATGTCTTCAAGGTTAGGTTCCATCTAAATCTTCTATTTACATTAACTTTCCTATATATACTCCAGTTTAATTTAATGTCTTTTTATGGAGTCATTAGAAATAAATTCAAAATGTTAGGAAGATTATGACACCAATGTTAGGAGGAAAAGCAAAATCATTAGAAGGGTAAGGATGAGCTTCTTTAGACAAATTTCCTTTATGTGTCTTTAGAGATATTTTTGTGTTTGTGGGCATGCAGATAAATGTTGGTTTTTTTTTTATCATGTATAAATGTGCCAATATACACTTTTCTTTCATATCAATCTTGCAGATGACAGAAATAGCTCATTGGTGCTTGTGCGAAGATCCATTGGACAGGCCTGAAATGAAGGAGATCGTTGTGGCATTGTCACAGATTGTGATGTCCTCGATAGAATGGGAAGCATCACTAGGCGGAGACAGCCAGGTTTTTAGCGGGGTATTTGATGGAAGATGAAGACTCCTTGCTACTTGAGATTTTTTTACAAATCCTTGTCTTTGCTGTGTTGTTATATTATTCTGTTGTTTTTATTCAAATGTCATATCTGCTGCCATTTGGGTTTAGTTGGGGATGTATATATAGAGATTTTGGATAGAAGATTATAGGATTAAAATCGTCATGATGACTTCCTAATGTACCAAAAATATGTTAATGCTAACAATATTGGATTAATGTTTCTTATATTATCTCCTACACATATGTCCATAATTTTCTTCTCTTCACATGACTCCACATGAGTTTCACACATTTTTATACGTGTGTAGGAGATAATTTTATCTCCTACAACATACGAAACATTGCCAACAAAGGTGGGCACCGTTGGCGAAAGATTTGGACATTCGGTGGGTACCTCTCAAGGGCGTGGGTTCAAACCTCGTTGGCTGATGTGAGGAATTTGTTAGTAAATAATATGGAATCCATTCCAAAAATACTTTGTTAGGGGGTTTTCTATGGTCCTAGTGGGATACCGATATTTAACCCACTTAAAATTTTGGATTAAAAAAAAATTAATCCCAACAATATTATGTGAAAATACAGGGAAATATTTAACTAATTTTTGTGCCACTAAAACTGTTTTATTTCTTGCTTAAGGCAAAAACTCAATTTACAAATATGAATAACTACTACAACTCAATTTTTTTTTTCTACGTTATCAATCGTTTCATTGATTATTTGATTAGTCCGGTTCAAATCAAGTAAAATCACATAGGCTGCAAAGCTCTCCTTACCAGGGACACAAGGAAGAGGCGAGCATTAACTATCATCTTTCCCTAAATCTTGATTTTATTTTATTATTATTATTATTATTAGTATATATATAATGATATTTTTTAATAATAATAAACTATTAGTGTTAATAAAGTATTAATTATCCCCTCTCTCAAAAACACTTATAATATATAGTCCCTCTTACTAGTTTTAATAAAATTTGTCCCTTCTATTAGTTTTATTTAAATTTGTAATTTTAATATTATATTTTCTCCTCTCATCATAAATATTTTTGGGTCTCCCATTGCTCCCTAGCAAGTTTTAACACAATTGCGTTTTAGGAACTTAAACTTGAGATCGATAATTAAGCTGGTATATCCCTTACGAGTTAATCCATATGTTTGGTCGTTGCGACCCAATTTTAAATAATAAAACTTAGAAAATGGTTTTAAAATTGAGTAAAACTTTACAACGAAGCCGAATTAAGGGCACGAGTAAGGATACCTAGATTCCAAGGTACTAACTACTAATTGCCAGGATTACAAGAGAAGTTAAGCTTGTTCGTTAATAGGAAATGGTGAGGACTGAGTTAATAAACCACATCTTGGGTATGTAAGAACTTAACTTAAATGAACAGCTTGCTTTGACCTCACCAGTGCACCTTAAAACATATAGGGCATTTTGTGTAATAGATAAATTTATAAGCACATAGTAATCATGAAAACCGAACCTATGTGCTTAAGAAATTGTGGGTTGTGACTTTTGTATAAATGAAAAAGCTATGTGCACCTAGTTGTTGGTTAAACCGAACCTGCATGTGTAGGTCCTTAAAATGTCTCTTTTGTTACTTGCTAGAAATTGATAGGAAAGAAAAAATAAAAATAAATTAAATTAAAGGCAGATGTAGATAATTAACATTGGAAGCATGGAGCTCGATTAAATTCAAGGGTTAGGGAGCATGGTACTTGATTGTAAATCATAGGAAAAATAGATGTAAATTCTGATTTGATACATGTGCTTGTTTAAGTGCGCAAGTTCTTAAATAATTGGACTGTTCGATGATATTTGGAATGCTTGATTTAGAAAGCTAAAGTATCAGGTATGTGTTTGGTGGTGAGATCTACTGTGACTATTAGGTAGCTATCTAAAATTAAAAGTATGAATTAAAGTTGTTTCATTTATTTTTAAAATTCAGAAATATAATATGTTATATATATGGTTTTAGCAAGAAATTAACTTCAATATGGATAATGTGTTTCTGATAAAAGTCCTTTACATTATAGATATTTAAATAATTGTTACTTTAAATTAATTTAAAACACATCTCCATAAGTTTACCAAAAAAATACATCCCCATAATAATTTTTGATAAAGTGCATACATATAATATAATTATTGCATATTGAAACACTCATAATATCCATCTAATTAAAACCAAAGGTAAGTACATGTAACAGAATGATAAAAATATAGACAAAGGAAAAAAATAAAACCATAATATTTTCAACAAACAAACTACTTAATTAATATTAATAAGTTCATTAATTAAGTTGTAAAGAGTATAATGTTCCACGATTGTTATGTTACTAAAATTTAACTAATATATAAGTCTATCCCTACCTCCGTTTCTTTCAACAAAATACTAAATTTAACATTATCATTTGTAATAGTATGTTAAAAATTATAAATTTAATCTCTCCATTTTTTTTTTTCATGATAACAAAAGTTACACATTTAGGCCTACTTTCTAAGGTCGGATTACATTTAAAGGGGAGTACTACCCAAGACAGTGACTTCAGCATAATTCTAACCTCCCGGAACAGTTGCATAAAGCAACTTACATGTATGCCTAAATAATTTGAATAAAATCTAAAACTTATAAATTAAAAAGAATTTTTAACGTAAAAAAATTAAAAATAATAACATAAAGATGTTAAAAAAATCAAAATAAAATTATTAGATATAAAATTTCATGTCTTAGAGAGAGAGAAATAAAGTATAATAAAAAACTATTTCAAAGTGAAAATGTTATTATTACTAGGATACCAAAACAATTTTTTTTTTTTATTTTTACTACACTGAAATATATAATAATTATTTAAAATCTGAAAACGCTTCCGAAAAAATAAAATAAAATAAGAAAATTTCTTTTTCCGTGTGGGAACGGCGTCGTTGGGTGACATTCCTCCTCCTCGTCCCCCTCCTCCTTCATTGTTCACTGTAATGCTGATCTGATCGAGATTTGGGATCCAATCTAGGGATTGGACATAGTATCTATCAATGGCGGGAGCAGCCTCTGCTCTGTTCCTTCTCGACATCAAAGGCCGCGTCCTCATCTGGCGCGATTACCGCGGTGACGTCTCCGCCCTCGACGCCGAACGCTTCTTCACCAAGCTCATCGAGAAACAGGTTCCACTTCACTTCCATTCCTCATTTTCACTCCTTTATTTATTTATTTTTCAAAATCGAAATTCATCTCAGCTCGAGCAACGCGCACTCAGTTGCTGAATCTCGATATTGATTTTGAAGAATTTGAGTTTTGATTTTATTTTTTTTTATTCTCATTCGTGAGCTTTTATTGTTATTGTTGAACGGTGCAGGCTGATGCAGAGTCTCAAGATCCGGTTGTATATGATAACGGTGTGACCTACATGTTTATACAGCACAGCAATGTTTACCTCATGATAGCCGCCAGACAAAACTGCAATGCTGCTAGCCTTCTTTTCTTCCTGCATCGATTAGTTGATGTAATCGTGTTTCTGATCCGAACCTTTTGAAATGAGAATTTCGTGAAAATGTTTTCGCAACAAGTTTATGTTAATAACGATCGATCAGGTTGATCCGTGTCTTTGTGGCAGGTGTTTAAGCATTATTTTGAAGAATTGGAAGAGGAATCTCTTAGGGATAACTTTGTTGTTGTGGTAAAGTGAATGAATTCAATTCATTGAATTGCATGAATGAATGAATTCATTGAATTGTGTCGTTTTGATATTTGGATTTCTTGTGTCTTTGGCAGTATGAACTACTTGATGAGATTATGGACTTTGGCTATCCTCAGTATACTGAGGCAAAGATTCTTAGTGAATTTATCAAGACAGATGCTTATAGAATGGAAGTTACGCAGAGACCTCCCATGGCTGTAACTAACGCTGTCTCTTGGCGCAGCGAAGGGCTAAACTACAAGAAAAATGAGGTGGCTTTTAGAAAAGTGGAGATTCTATACCTTTTGAAATTGTAATTTGATGGTCCATGTCGCCAATTGTACTTTTCTATTGTATGTTCAGGTTTTCCTGGATGTGGTGGAGAGTGTTAACATACTTGTCAATAGCAATGGACAAATAATTAGGTCTGACGTTGTCGGGGCTCTGAAGATGAGAACTTATTTGAGGTTTTCTTTCTACTTCCCTTGAGATCTATGGAATTTCAAGCTATTGGTGTGAGATGGGCTGCTAACTAGCTAGGCTTTCCGCTTTCTTCTATTGATTGCTTCATCTAAAGGCTGAAATACTGTTTTATGAACTACTACATGCTGATCTCAGTTTCCTGGTTTCTGTTTTGGGTGATTTCATTGTTGTGCTTGTGTCTACTCATGTGTGGAGGGTATGTGTGTGGTGTTATTGGTGAGGACTGAAGAGATACACATTAGGGATTAGGGAACCAAGCCTAAACTGATTCTTTATGTTGAATCTTTCTTTAAATCATTTTTTTACTATGTATAGCTAAAAAATTTGAGGAATGCAAATGAAATTAGCAATTTGGATTAGGAGTATGTTATTTTCTGTTTGTACTGAATACTCATGCTTACGGATCTCTACATTGATTTGGTACTCCTGAGGTTTTCTTTAGGAGCTCTTGCTAAGCATACATGTCCGTTGTCCATCCATTAGCTAATTGTAGGCAGGTCCAACTACTGGACACATGTCACTTCCTATATTTACAGTTGAGAAATGTTTGGAAGACTGCATTAATTGTGATGTATATATTAATCTAATCCACTTCCATGCTACAGCATTTATCTGAGAACTCATGTTTCATTTTCGGCTTATCTAATGCAGTGGTATGCCTGAGTGTAAACTTGGCTTAAATGATAGAATATTATTAGAAGCACAAGGTAGAACAACTAAGGGAAAGGCGATAGACTTGGAAGACATCAAATTTCATCAGTATGTATGCTTGACTTTCTTGTCTTTACAAACTGAAAATTTAGAGTGAAAATTTTGATACACTTTTTTCAAGCATGTTTCCTCTTCTTGATGCTAGTTCTCGAATTATTCTGGCATTTTATGAAGGTGTGTGCGTTTGGCTCGATTTGAAAACGATCGAACAATTTCCTTCATACCACCTGATGGATCATTTGATTTGATGACATACAGGCTCAGTACACAGGTTCACTTCTTCTCTCGATATGGAACAAGTTTCTGTTTTGAGAGGTGGCACATCCATACACACACACAGAGAAAGATATAGAGAATAAAAGCTTATTTTGTTGATTCTACCATCTCTGATTTCAGGTTAAGCCGTTAATTTGGGTGGAAGCACAAGTTGAAAAGCATTCAAAGAGTCGGATTGAGATTATGGTAAAAGCTAGGAGTCAATTTAAGGAACGTAGGTACTGAGATTTCTTCTTTTCTAATATTTGTTACTTTTCCCCTCTCTCTCTCTCTTCCTTAACAGAAGGTGGGAAATCGCCTCTGTTAAATTCACGTGATAAGGTTTTTCCTCTAGAATTTAGACTGCCCTAAATGTCTTTACCTCCCCAACTAATAGAATTTATTTACAGCACTGCCACAAATGTTGAGATTGAGTTGCCTGTGCCTGTTGATGCAACTAATCCAAATGTTCGAACTTCAATGGGATCTGCATCATATGCACCTGAAAAAGATGCATTAATCTGGAAAATAAGATCCTTTCCTGGAGGCAAGGTATGAGTTCAGTTGCAAATGGCATTGAACACTTGAATAACACCCATCTTGATACCTCAATTTGATTGTGATTTATTGGATTTGGTTCTCCTTTTGGTTCTTTCAGGAGTATATGTTAAGAGCAGAGTTTCGGCTTCCCAGTATAACAGATGAGGATGCAGCTCCCGAGAGAAAAGCTCCTATACGTGTGAAATTTGAGATACCATATTTTACTGTTTCTGGAATACAGGTATTGCTGCATAAACACGGTTTTCTTATATTCAGAATATCTTTAGGCTATTTTTTCAGCATTCGAAATAATATTTGCTTCCATTAATGTTTCTATCTCTGTCTGATTAAATTTAGGTGAATATTTCCTTTAATCTAGTCTATATTATTCACCCCTTCCCTCTGTCTCTCTCTCCATTTGCTTGTTGGTGTATAATGTTATAACTTGTCTGCTAACATTTCGATTATTTCATTGGATTGAGGGGTGGAGTGAACTAGATGAATCTGTTATAGTTCTAATGTTTTCACAGTTCAATTGATATTCGAAATTCACAATAAATGTTTATAAATAGAATTACTAAATTAGAAAAGAATTGAGTGGAAAAAAGAACTTGACATCAGAAAAGGATCAGAAACTAGTACTCAGAATTTTATACCGTTGTCCCCAATTAACGGTTTTGAGAAGTAGTTTGTTTGAACCATGAGAAATGCATAAGACTAGGCCATCTGAATGAAACATGGGCAGTCACATGATAAATTGGTTCCTGAAATTAAAGTTTACAACATTTTGTGATGGTGTTGTTCAGTTAGATGAAGCTTTGATTGATTTGATTATGGTAATCAACATGTAAATATTTTGGTTTTATAGGTAAGATATTTGAAGATTATCGAGAAAAGTGGGTATCAGGCTCTTCCATGGGTGAGATACATAACAATGGCTGGAGAGTATGAACTAAGGCTTATTTAAGATCTTATATCTTTCTTTGGTGCTTGAAATCCACCAAATAATTGTGTCATCTTCAAAGATCAAAGACTTCAAACTGGTGGATGAGGGAGGGACTCGTGAGAGAAATTAGTTAGAAATTAGCTGCCCAATCATATCTCTCTTCATTGTAGTTATTTTGGCAGCAGATGTATGCTGCTAATTGTCTATAAAGTTCATGTCAACTATAAATCAGGAATTGGCAAGCGTAAGTCAGTACCTCCTGTGTAAGTCCTTTTGGTCAAATTTGCTTTTGTTGGAAAATTTGTTTGGTTCTTTTTTGCCCTCTTGCTTTTCATTCACGATCTGTCCATCTTTTTGCGTTGTTTGAAATTGTAATTTGATTTACATCTGTAAGATTTTTAGCTTTTGTATTACTAAGATTGAATCTTTTTTATTTTTCTCCTCTTTGTTTGTATTCTTAACCTCCCCATATTTTTTTTTTCGGTATTGATATTGTGCCATCCCTGGTTTTGGACGAAAAACTATTTTTAACCGTGCATTCAAAAAGTTGATTGCAAGTCACTGGCGGAAAAGCAAAATTGTGTGTTCTTGTTATAAGGTTGGGTACATAACGTCGGTAAATTTCAGAGAATATAGACCACTTTCATCTGGATATTAAGGTAAAAAAAGAAAACATTAGTTCTACATACTGTTTGTGGAAAACAGTAATTCAATACCCTTAAAAGATAAGTTATTCTACTTATTAATTTTTTATGTCTACTTTGTCTATCACTTTTTAATATTGTTAAATTAAAATCTTAATTAATGTTTATCATTTTTCTCTCCTCTTGAGATTTTGATATAACAGTTTTGGAGAATGTTAAATAAAATAGACATAAAAAAGAAAAGGTTAGTAGGCATTAAAAAAAAAAGTTGGAATAACGTATATCTATTCTTATGCCTTTAACGTTTTCCAGAAAAATTTTCTCGAGAAATTGGAGGCTTGGAGGGCCTAAAAAACAAGCTGGACTTATCGATGTTATTCTCGAGTAACTGCCTTGGGGAAGTGAAATTTTGGAAAAAAAAAACTCTTGTAAGAGACAGTAATTGAAATTTGAATGTAAACAATTTATTCAGCTCTTAAATTAAAGGCTTCTGTCGGGACTCGGTCGTAATGGCCTGTTTGGAAATAGTGGAAATTCTTTCTCTATGATTCCGACTATTGGGTAAAAAAGAAGAGACTTTTTTTTTTCTTATATAAATTAAAATATAATAAAATAATGGTTATAAAATTTAAACCATAAATTATAATTTAAACTACGAAGCTTTTCGTTAGAACTTGTAAAGTAAAATTATAAGATAATAAAATTTATAAATAAATAAAAAACATTCATAGAAATTATATTAATATACATTTTTCTCTATTTAAGATGAATATACATAAAAAAAAGTATGTACTTAATGATTTTGAGAAAAATTAATAAACTTTTATTTTTTTAATTTTTAAAATTAGAAAAATAACTAGAGAAAGTTAAAAGAAAAATTTCTAAATATGAAAAGCGAAAAAGATATTATGTGCCAATTTATAGTAAAAGAGCTTTTATAATATATATATATATATAGATTATGGGCTACGAGAAACACGAAACAGGAGCCCAAGGTTCATGTACTTAGATATGTGGAATGAGATTTTTCATGCGTTGGATTTAACATTACTATATTATGTGAATGTACGTAAAAGTGGAAATTGTCACACTTTAATGTTGAAATTGTTATTTTAATTGCAGATCATTAATAAATAACTAAGATCTGTCATATTAAAATAAGATATGAAAGAGTTCATTCCTATACTATATTATTTAAGGCATGAGAAAACCCATTATATGCTATTTTTCATCGAACAATATCATGTTTCCGAGATTAGAGTGAGAGAATATAGTGTTGCTTTTAAATGTCAGATAATTACCATCATTAGGTATCCAAATATTCGTGCCGCACAGATAATTACCATCATTAGGTATCCAAATATTCGTGCCGCAAATATTATATTTAAGATAAAAATTTTGAAAAAAAAAAAAAAAAACTATTCCATTATAAACTCACTTGTGAACAAAATTAAATTTATTCATTTTTATTGTTGTTTCTAACTTTCTAGCTTTATAAACTCACTCATCCTTTATCACAAATCTTGAATTTTGTGATTAGAGGCGGTGCTCGAACTAGCACTCCATAACATTATTTCAATACATCAAATCACGTTCTCTTTTAGCATTTGACAGCCTCATTAAGAATTCATTGAACTCAGCGTCACTGCTCAACATGCTAAGCCTAGCATACTCTGGACCACCACCAAATCTCTTCCCTCCCCTTCCAATGATCTTCAATTTTCCCAGATAACTTTCACAATCTCCTATGCCCTCCTGGCACTTCAACCAAGCAAAACCTGTAGGAATCAGAAAAGCAGACGTACATATTAAATCCACATTATTAAAGGCAAAAAAAAGAGCAGCTTTAATCAGTGGGAGGAAAAACAAAATACCAGGGTATGTTTCAGATGACTCATTAGTGAAAGTACAATAGGCCCTAGGAAACTTGGCCACGGTGAAGACATTATTTTGTTCAATAACTACCCTTAATTTTTCCCACCTTTCCCTCAAGAGGCGTCTGACATATTTAAAGAAGAGCTCAGATTCCATGGACCCAAAATTCTGGTAACTATTGCAAATCACTCCAATGATCTTAGCAACTCGAGTTTGGGATTCTTTTGACACGCCAATGGAGCTCATCTGCACGAATGTGGTCATCTTCTTAGCAACTTCAATGTCCTTCACGATAGCCCACCTTCACATAAAAAATCAAAACTAAGCTTATATGAACAATAACATATGGGATTAATTTTTCTCACATTGTACGAGATAATTTTATCTCTAACACATACATACATACAAGCACAGAGCCAAGGAAAAAGACCCAACTAGTAAAATTCAGCTAGTACTAATGTTGTATTATTTTTAAAAACCTAATAAATATCAAGGTTATATCATAATTTTTAAGGAAAATATGTAGCATTTTTTGAAAATCAGTTGATGCCAAGTGGCTCCGCCATTGCATATAAGTGTGTGGAGTCCATAATTTCTTTTTCTCTCTCTTTTCCTCATATAGACCCACATGAACCCTATATACTTTTATACATGTAGGAGATAAAACTATATATCTTAGATCATGAGAAACATTAATCACATAATATATATGTGATAAAGTTTTCTATAAACTAAACTAATTAATTCCATGAGAATGGAAGAGGGGTCTCATTGACTCACCCAATACGGGAACCAGCATGACCAGTGCATTTGGAGAATGTGAAGAGCATAATATCATGGTCAGCCTGGTGAGTAATTGGAGTGTACTGTGGCCAGTAATAGGCAAAGTCATAAACCAGTTTTCCCTTAGCTTCAGATTTCACCACAGGTCCCCTGAGTGTCCCATCAGGGTTGTTTGGGGATGTCACCACCTCTATGTAAGGTTCATTTTTATCATACATAGCAGCATCACCATCCCATTGATACAGCCCTGAACGCACAACACAAACCTCATCTTGGTATTCCTGCAAATAGCACATCCATTATTGTTAATTAATTCTTCATTCAGACACTAATCAATCATCATTGGCGCCGCTTAATCTGTAAATGCCACGGGTTTAGATCAAGTCACCGACCTTAAAATGTACCATAATAACACTAATAATTTTAATATTAATAATAATGATGTTCTGAGGTTGACCAAACAGGGGATTATGAAATTAGTGGAGACCAGACAGACACACCCATGTTACCCATGTTTGCATATAGAATCAACAAGTTCATGTGTCTACGTGAATGTGTTTGTTGCATGTTTCCAAATATGCCTAGTGTTTCCAAAAGACATGTCTGTTACTTTTTGGCCTCCTAAAAAAGTCCAAAAAGAACCATTTTAAAAGGTTAATTTAACGGGAAACCGCTATTCCGAATCTAAAGTTCTAACCATCATAACAAAAAAAGGGCCGTTACATCTTCTTGGCTCGTAAACAGAGCAAACAAGGCATCGCCATGAAACACGCTTTTTTGACAACAAACTAGTCGATTGTGGACTTTCACAATCCTAGTTTTGACTGAGTAAATGCAATCTTCATAAATTTCGTATTCGTCAACAGAGATAAAGAAACGGAAATGGATCCATTTAAAAAAAAAAACATGATATGATGTGGTGGGACAATAATATCTGTATAAAAATAATTATTTATTTTAATATGTTTTTTCTCTCTCTTTTATCACCATTGATTTACTTTGTATATTTTATGATTGCCCATATTATATCTTTTTCAATATGAGAATATCCCCTCTCTAAAGAAAGAAACTGATAGAATAGATCATTAAAAAAAATTCAAGGAAACGTTTAGATAAAGTAAAATAAAGATTTTTTATATGAATATTTTTAGTTTGAAAAAATTTAAACATTCAACCCGAAAACGTATGTACATCCTTTCCTTAATCATAATCTAATTCAAACATTAATTACTATATAAATGTATAAGGCAAGTATGTAATTGCATTAAAGTAAGCTAAAATAAATGAAGTGTTTCAAGTTATATTAAATAAAGAAATAAAAAAATCATAGTATATTAAATAAATAAATAAAAAAGGATAAAGGATGAGGAAGCAGAGGAAAAGATAATAGGTTACCGAGTAATAAGGAGCAGCAGCCACCACGTTGATAGGGTGAGGATCCTGTGGGGAAGAGAGAGCATACAAAGCAGCTTGAAAGAGCTGGGTGGTGCCATTCCCGACCACTATGTGCTTATCTTTTGTGACAGCATTGCCAACCACATTGTGAAGCCTTTCAATGCCATCTCTAAGTTCTGGTAACATGAACCAACACACATTGCTTGGATCACTCAAGTAACTCATCAAGTCCCATCCTTTAATCACCACCGTACATTCATCACTCATCTTCTTCCAGTATGACTCGTATATCAATGGATCACCCCTGTTGTTGCACAATCACAAATCACTTAAGACCATTGACTACTTCACCATTAAATTTAAATAATAATAGAAAATGAACATGATTTGACAAAAGGATTAAAAAAATAAAAAAAAATAATTATTATTATTACTTATCAAGATTGATGATAGAGTTGGGCGAGAGGGGCATTGTTGAACCATTGTTGAAACAAGGGAAGCCATTTTTGTTGACGGAAGGAGCAGAAGGAGAAGAAGCCTTGGCGACCACCATACTTGAATGCTCTAGTTTCGTTGACAATTGGATCTTTGCTCTCACTCTTGGTTCTCTCCTCTGAGTTATGTATGTATTTATACACATTTTCTTCTAATATCAATTAATGTTATTATTAATGTCACTGACACTTTAGTTTAGTGTTACATCGATTATGTTGATCAACGGTTATAAAAAGTATCTTTTTTCTTTTTATATTTAATACTTTATATTTATTTTCATATTAAGTATGGAGAATCATAATCATATAAAGATAGAATTTTTTTTTTTTTGGGTAAAATTATAAAGGTAGAATTTAACTTTTTAAAAATCTTCTTTCTTCTCATTATATTTAATACTTTATATTTATTTTCATATTAAATATGAAGAGTCATAACCATATAAAGGTTGAAATAAAAATAACCGTTGGATCAACATAATCAATTTAACTATGAAACAAAGTAGTAGTGACATTAGTAATAACACTAACTTATAGTAATAATATCTTATTTCTTCTTTTTATTAATCTTTCCATTAATGAAAGGGTTTAACGTTTATTATTAGGAGATAATTTTATCTTCTAGATATATATAAAAGTTGTGGGTCCTATGTGGGATCATATGAAAATAAAAGGGAGAAAAAATGAGTTTTACATATTTTTATATATGTATAAGAGTTTAAATTATATTATAAGAAACAATAATTGAAAAATTAAAAGCTCTCGTATTTGACTATTGTTAAGAAAAAATAAAATGAAATAAAATTCAACGTAACTGTCTTCTAAATTTCCAAACTCATTGAATTATTGGATAAAAATTAATAATTGTGTCCAAGTGATATGTACTGTATTTAAGGATAAAGATTAATTATTTATGAGAAAGGATATATTTATCATCAAAAAAATTTATCATCTTTACAACTAACATAATCACCGTTGATTTTCGTCAATCTAACAGTTATAATTTATTAAAAATTATTAGATCGCATTTATTAATTATTTATTAATTTCCAAGAAATTATAACCGTTAGATTAACGAAAATGTGATAAACTTTTTTGGTGGTAAGTATATCTTGCGCCATTATTTATTAGGGAATTTATTCAAAGCATATTTATTTATTTATTTTTTGGATACAAAAGCACAATTTTCTATTCAGTCTTTAAATATTTTCTTTGTTTATCAGTTATTCAATTCACGTCTGGAACATACTATTCGAATATATTTAATTTCTTAAGCTGTTATTTCTGGAAAATAACACCTTTCATTTATTATTTTTATTTTCTGAATTAAATATTTTATGGTAATTATGTATATTTCTTTATAGATTTAACTTTTAAATTTATATTTCTAATTATATTTTTAAATTTTATCATAATTAATTGTGTATATCTTTTATAATTTAATTTTTTTCTTTGTTTATCAATTATTCAATTCACTTCTGGAACATACTATTTGAATATATTTAATTTCTTAACCTGTTATTTCTGGAAAATGACAACTTTCATTTATTATTTTTATTTTCTGAATTTAATATTTTATAGTAATTATGTATATTTCTTTATAGATTTACTTTTTAAATTTATATTTCTAATTATATTTTTAAATTTTATCTTAATTAATTGTGTATATCTTTTACAATTTAATTTTTTTCTTTTCTATCATTTTTTAAAATTAATACGAATTTAAAAGTATTAGTATAATTCACAAGATATTTTCTATTTATACTAAAATTAAAATGTAATTTTATTTTTCAAGCAAATAAAGATATATAGGGCTTGATTATTCAAGGGAACTAGTTAATATTATTTTAAGTAAGAATTATGAAATAATTAATGTAAATATAGCTACACAATTGTGGCAACCCTATTTCATATAGTAAAACGATTTTTAATTAAAATAAATTTAAAAACTACATGAATCAAGAAGAAAGTAAAGTTACAAAAGGGATGAAAATAGAGTTACAAAAGTGACAGCAAGTCGAGTAAACTAAAATAAACTTATAATTTCAATTTTCATTTATTTTAATCATAAAAATAAATTTAAGTTCAATATTATTTTATTTTATTTATTTATCTTATTATCTTATATCATGATAATATTAAATATTAAAAGAAATTTAAAATAAATAATTTTATAAGATAATAAGCTTTTAATTTTTCTCAAATAATATTTTAATTTTTAAAATGTTTTTAAGTGAATAAAAAATTTACGATTATTTTTTAAATAATTTCATAATAAATAATTTTTAAATTTAATCTTTAATACTTAATTTTATTATATATCGTAATCATATATAAAAAAAATTGAGAAAAATAAAAACATTATATATATAAAATTACAAGGAATCTTAGTAATACATTTTTGCGACTACGATAGAGTGTAAGTGAAAGTTTGAAACCATATAATTTGAAGTGATGAACTTATGTAACCATAATACATTTGAGTGCTAAATTTAAACCACAAGAAATTACGTGAAACAACTACAAGAAGTGAAAGTAAAATTTTCCAAAAAAACTAATCTAAAATTATATATATATATATATATATATATATATATATATATATATAGAGAGAGAGAGAGTAAGGTTATAGTTACAACCTTTTTTTTACAACAATATCTTATCACCGTCGATTTTCGCCAATCAACGGTTATCATTTTAGCAAATTAAACTCATTAATTAATTATTAATTCATAATAAATGATAACCGTTGATTGAGGGAAATCAACGGTGATAAGATATGATTGTAAGAGGTTGTAAAAAAAAGGTTGTAAGTATAACATTTCTCATATATATATATATATATATATATATATATATATATATATATATATATATATATATATGGGAAAAATATTTCTACAGCCATCTTAGATAAGGTTATCTACAGCTATCATGTATAACAATGTTCTTCCGGGAGAACATAGTTATAACATTAAAGTTGCTTTTTTGTCTCTCTCCATGTCAGTAGGGTTGGCAAAACGGGCCAACCCGGCTTGACCCGGTCCAACCCGCATTCAACCCGTAAAAATCGAGTTGGGTTCGGGTTGGCTCGAAAAAATAAACGAGCCAGAAAACTCAACCCACCCCAACCCGAGCCGGGTTAGGGTTGGCTCGATAATCAGCTCGCGGGTTGGCTCGGAAAAAAGCTCGCGGGTTGGCTCAGAAAAAAGCTCACGGGTTGGCTCGAAATAATGCCAGCGGGTTGGCTCGCGAGTTGGCTCAAAAAAATTGATTTTTGTGGAACTAATCTTATTTGTTCTCCAACACTGCATAAAATTATCATCACTGCCAAAACTATTAATTGTCTAATGGATAATGGTGTAAAGACAATAACTAATAAAACATAACCAATAAATTAAGAAATCCCAACATAGCACTAGACAAACACTTTACAAAATAAAAATTGCCCTATGAGTTCCCATGGCCAATACAGAACAATATCAAAATCTAAACATCCAAAAGTACACCATCATCATTGGATCATCTACAAAGTTTCATGACCATTAGATCCCCGTGAAGAAGCTAATATATGAGAAATACCATCTTCATCATCATCATCATCATCATCTACAAAACACAAACCATAAAATGTAAATAATCAATTAAGGTTACAATGACAAATGAAAATGAAATTTTAATTGCATTGAAAATAAATAAATTACCATTGGCATCAAAACCAACCAACCAATTGCGGGTACATATCAAAGCTTCAACATTCTTTGACAACAACTTATTTCTATATTTGTTAAGCACACGTGATCCAATGCTAAAAGCAGATTCAGATGCCACGGTGGTAATAGGAATGCTTAACAAGTCACGAGCCATTAATGATAGATTCAGAAAACGACAACTATTATCCTTCCACCATTGCAATGCATCAAAACTATTCCAGTTGTCAATAACCAATATTGGCTCCTCTAAATAAACATCAAGTTTAGATTTTCCAGCATTTATTGCAATGTGTTGATTGTGCAAGAACAATTCCTATCATATTTAAGAAGTGCAAAAACATAATAATTGAAGTAAGTAAGTACATGCATATAAATAAAGGCGTGAAAATGAATATGATATAACATAATTGAAGCTTTTTGCTAAAAATGAATATGATATAACTACAAGAAGTGAAAGTAAAATTTTCCAAAAAAATTAATCTAAAATTATATATATATAGAGTAAGGTTATAGTTACAACCTTTTTTTTTACAACAATATCTTATCACTGTCGATTTTCGCCAATCAACGGTTAGCATTTTAGTAAATTAAACTCATTAATTAATTATTAATTCATAATAAATGATAACCGTTGATTGACGAAAATCAACAGTGTGATAAGATATGATTGTACGAGGTTGTAAAAAAAAGGATGTAAGTATACTTTTTCTCATATATATATATATATATATATATATATATATATATATATGGGAAAAATATTTCTACAGCCACTTTAGATAAGGTCATCTACAGTTATCATTTATAACTATGTTCTTCCGGGAGAACATAGTTATAACATTAAAGTTGTTTTTTTCTCTCTCTCCATGTCAGCAAACAAGTTCTGAAAAGTAACTGAGGAGAGAGAAAAAACAACTTTAATGTTATAAATATGTTCTCTCGAGAGAACATAGTTATAAATAGTAGTTATAAATAACCTTATCTAAAGTGACTGTATAAATATTTATCCATATATATATATATATGTTATGGTGTGGATTCATATCCTAACAACCCCACTGCTAGCAAGATTGAATAACAACCATATAATCTAGAGAGGATCAAGGGATAAGATCCATATCTCCATCAATCAAGGCAGATTTCATATCAATTGGGAGATAGGCTCAAGCCTATGAAGGTAATCTTTATAAATAAGAAGCTAAAGATCCCAAGTATACATTTTTGACCTATTTATTATTACTACCAACACTGTGCAGACTCCGACGTCTTTGCTACACGCCCATTGATAGTGCGCAATGATTGGAGTATTGACGATAAGCTAATCAAGATATCTATCTCTAAGATATCTC